ATGGCACAATCTGAGCCGAGCCCCAGGCTGAGCCAGCCAGGCTGCGCAGCACAGCAAGCCCGGCCAGTGTCTAGTTACCTGTTCAAAAGCCAGAAAAAAGAGTTTTTCCCAGGGTTTCTTCATTTTTAAATGTGATTCCGCAAAGGCACGTTCAGCTCTCTTAAGTGGTTTGACAGGGTGTCAATATTCAAAGCCAGCCAGCTGATTGATTCCATCAGGTCTGAAGGAAGCTGCCAAGGTCTTTACAGGGAATCACTTCCACAGGTCATGGATTTTTCCTTAAATACGTTAAACCACAACAATGTGCCTTGGGGGTTTGGTATATACTTAAAGGAGACAATCACACCAGCTGTAAAAATTATTTCTAAGAATCTAAAGAAAAATAGAGCCTGAGAGAGTCCAATGTAAAATGATGAGCATGGGGTGATTCTCTTGAAAGAGACCCCGAAAGCTGAATGCAGAGTTTTCAGCACAACTTAATCAATAGTTGTTCTTCCACGAAAGGACTGGCTGAAGAGATTTCACTCAAATCTTTGAGAAGACTGTGTCTGCACTAAGAAGTTTCAAACTACCAAATCACCTATTTTCAAATGAGCTGCATCATACCAAAGTTCCTTCATGCTGTCTGCTGCTGTAACAGCCTGGAAAATTTTATATGCTGAGAGTGTTATCTATGTTTTCAGTATTTGAGCAAGTCTTGTTTGCTTTTCTTTTTTTTTTCCCAGATGATTCAATTCAAGATCAACCACAGCACATTCACTGCCCTAACCAAAACACAGAGAGCTGGAAAATAAAAACTATACAGGCTAAATATCAGAGTACAACCAGAGTCAGCAAATACATTGCATTCCAGTATCTAGATAACCTCAACCCCACTAGCATGAGGAAGCTTTGGTACAATCCTTGGGCCAAACCCAGATTTTTGCTTTAGGGGAAAATGGGAGAGAGAGAATCTGTCTGCTGTACAGACTCTACTTTTTGGACTTAAAGCTATTTAGCCTAAATTTCTATCATCATTCAGCCTGGTACCAACACACATGAATTACGGATCAGAAGCAATTGAGGATAATGTCCAGTTCTTACCCAAGAAGTCCCAGCAAACACTGCCACTGGAATCCAAACATGAAATTTGCTCCAAGCCAAGGTTTTTCTTTCTTGCAGATTCAAATGCTGCATTCATTAATTTTAAAATAAGGAGAGAGCTAGATACTCTGAGAAGACCAGGAAAAGATCTTCAGCTCAAGTGTTTTAAAGCAGCATTCCCTGCACACGTGACCAGCAGTATTAGGAGCAGCAACATTTGTTAAAATTGGAGAAAAGCTTTTAAGACCTTTGCTCACAGGAAAAGACTTTTGGAGAAGACTTTTCCACAAAGCAGAATTCTTTGTCAAACCAATCTTTCACACCATCTTTTCAAAATATATTTTAAATATTGTTTGCATGACCAATTTTTTTGCAGATCCTTACTGTTGATATTAAATGATCATGGATACATTTACAAAGTACAGAGAAGTTAAATAGTTTAGAGATAGATTACCTGATAATTGAAGACATTGAAATCAAATGACCTTTGCAATTACTTATATTTTAAACTAAAAGAGAGATTGTATTTTCCCCATTTTCTCACCTCAAAACAGGCTAGTTAGATTTTTTTTCTTACTCTGTCAGGAAAAGTTTAAATGCTTCTGGTAAGAAAAGTAAAACTGAGCAAACTTTAAAACCAAGGGATGCTGATTCTGGGTTCTTCTCTTCACTTTTCAAACACAAAGTAGTTTTCCTTGTTGGGGTAGGGGCAGGGAAGATTAAACAGGGTATGGTGACAGGGTCCTACCTCAAGGTCTCCTGTGTATTAATGCATCAAGGAAAACACAACTAAGAAAGGGAACAAAATCCCACAGTTTGACTATAATCCCAGAGAAATGCATCATCCATTTACAAGAAGCAATTTGTGGAGTGCTGAAGATAGAGATTTTATAGTCATATGGCCTCCAGACTTGCAACTCAGATCTGAAAACCAAGGCTGCCTCACAGGCTAGGGCCTGAAAATCATGAACACTGTGCAATATATTAATGAAAAACCTGAATAGTTTAATGCTAATCAAATTTTAGGGCAGCATCAGTAAAATCAGCTTATTTTTTAGCTGGAGAATAGCCTAGGGGAACAATTATTTCTAAAAGAGATGACTCCTTATAAATCCAGGGATCTTGCTTTCAACCTTATTTCCATCAGAAGTTCTCCTTATGATCAAGAGATGATCATAAGGAGATCCTCATGATCCAGTTTGGCTTGGTTGTTTCCCAAACCTGAATTTCCACATCTATAAAGACAAGCACCTTTCTCTCAGGATGTGTCCACAATAAATTCTATGTTTAATGAAGTGCTTTATGACGGTCTCATGGAAGGCATTACATAAAGGACAAAGCACACACATGGTTCTGCTGCTTTGCTGGTATTATCCCTTGTCAAATCACATGGTAAGCTGAGATATGGACACAAATTATGAAAACTGGTTCCTACTCAATGATCCAACAATCAGTTGGGAGCATTCAGTAGGAGGTCTCTCCCAAGACCTCTTACAAGTCTTTTCCAGTGGATAACTGAAATAAAGCCAGCTGAGACTAAGCTCACTCCTAAGAACACACAGTGCAGTGGGGCAGTGCAGTGTCACACACAACCCACAGGTCAAAAGTCACAAGTTAACCAGTAAAAACATGTTGCCTGATTCCAGGGGGTGGGGACATTCTGGAAAGCACCATGAAATCCATCACAGTTTATCTCATATTCTTTCACGGTTCAAAATGGGGAAAGGAGATACAGCTGTAAGAAGAAGAGCCTCTTTGAAACAGCTAAGTTTAAATATAGCCATTGAAATAAAATAGAGATCTCTTGCCAAGACCAAGCAGGAAGCCTGAGCACACAGAGCATTTAAGTCTCCAAGGCAACAAAATATTAAAGCTTCACAAAAATAGGATCAAAGTATTAAATCCCAGTGTTTTTGTGGTACTCAGATACAACAGTCTTCAGGTTTTTATGGCGTTTGCAGAGAGAATGGGGATTTGTTTCTCATGCCAGGCACCATTATTCTACCACAGCTGTTACCAAGCTGTCGATCTGCTCCAGAAAGGCAGAGTTCCATCTTGTGGGAAAAAAAACATGTCAGAAAGAAAAACAGTGAAAGCTGTCTTGTATCAGGTTGTCATTTCCACAAGTCTAACAAACTGAGCTGCTCTCTCTGTAAGAATCCAGGAGGCAGCCCCTTGCTTCTCCCACAGGAAGGCACAGCACACCCACAAGCACACACTCACCCAGGCACTTGTAGGGCACAACGATGTGAGTGTGGTCCTTGCACTGCTTCTTCCCACGCTTGCACCAGCTGTCAATGCTGACGGGCTGGTTGGCTTCTACCACGTTGGTGATCTGAAGGTCTGGGTACATCTGGGAACAGCACAGACAGAGAGGTTTCTCTCCAGAAAGGACAGAGAATGTGCAGAGCAGCTCCTACCAGAGTAGTAAGGCTGATTCTCTACACAAGAACAACTCCAACTTAGGAACAAGCTGGAGTTTGCACGTGGACACACAACTCTGCTCTGGATCAAGCTCAGGACAGCTAGAGACATAAAAAAGCTCCAGCTGTCTGTCACACAGGGCTTCAGAAATAGATATGCCACTGCCTTGAGGCAGGAGAAAGCCAGGTCAGGGCAAGAGTCCTCACTGGCACTAAGCTGAGAGGTCTGGATTGGCACAGCAGTGGAGGAGGAGTATTTGGGTATTTGGGTTTGGAGGAGATGTAGCTGTTTAATTCTTTCTGGAGCAGTACAATACCCCTGGAACAGCAATCACCAACAAAAAGGTTTAGTACCATCTTCAGACTCTCTCATCACTTGTCAAAATATGCACCCACCTCCTCAGGTTTCCTCATGCCTGGTCCATTTATGATGTATGAATTTGATCCTTATACCCTGGTCAAGTTCTCAAGTCCAGACACTGACTTATATATAGGCTTCTACCACATGAAAAAAATGCAGCCCCAGTTATATCAGCCTTGTAAAACAGTTTAAAAAGTTTTCCAGTCCAGACACTGTTGCTTTCCCATTAATAAAAATATATTCCTTGTGGTATTTTACATATCTGTCACCTCAGAGGAGCAATTAAAGACACTGGACAAGACCAGTATGGTACAGTATATCTTGAACACACTAGAAGATGATTACATCTTTTTCAATAAAGTCTAAATAGCTTAAAAATACTGACAAAATTCGATTAAAATATTTTTTTAAGATTCTGCCTGATCTCAGCATGTCACTAAAACAGCATCGCTGCATTCTAACTAAAATAGGTGTCAGGTTCCATTTTACGCAACAGAGAGCAGATACTGGTTAACCAGCTCAGGGGAAGAACACTGGAGTAAAGCCCTGCAAACACATGAAGGTACCTCTGACTGAACAGACCAAGGACCTTCTGTGGCAGTAGGAGCTGATGGGAGGTAGCTTCTAAACCCCGCTGCAGTGTCCTCCCTGCTCTTCCTGGACAACAACACAGCAGGATAGTGCAGAGAATTGGACTAGGCAAAAGCAAGCGCATCTCCTACAGGGTTAATTTGCTACTGAGCAGCTAAATTGGAATCCAATTCCTTCACAGCAGTGAAGATTCAGGATCACACAAAAAGTCTCACCTCCTGGCAGTATTGCAGAATCTCCTCCTTTCTTCCAAAGCAGCTCTTGGTCCCAGAAGTGTCAGGTTCCCATTTCCCAGTCTGGATGTTCACATGCATATTTAGCTTCCCACAGAACATGGCAATTTGAGGTTCTGCCACTGCAAACCCCGTCCCAGCATTGGCTGCAAGGGCCTGGGAAGACAAACCAAAACAGAACACCTTGATTGTATTATCTGATCAATAACTCAAAGAACCAGAAACCCTCTGGCATCTTCTTAGACAGTTCCTGCTTGATCCTGAATATCAGCGGAGTCTTGCAAACTATTTTGTAACAACATTCCTTGAGATGGTGAGTCCATCACAAATTTTCACGAGCAAAGCATTTGTTTCCCCAAATCCTGTTTTTTATAACTGAAACAACAACTTAGCAAAACCAAGAGTAATTCCCCCTAAAAGACTCCACCCACATGGACTAAAACAGATTCTGAAAAACTTACCAAATAACTAATACTAATAACTTCTGGCAGAAGGACCTCTGTGAAGTTATACACAACACACAGGTATTACTACCACTAATAAAGTAACTGTGTCTCACTGCAAGAATCCTGCTTTTTTATTTTTTTGCTCAAACATGCAAATAAAGATAATTTCTACTGAATCAGAAAAAACCAGCTGTGACAACCAGCTCCTCAAAGCCTTGTATCCCATTCAGTGCACTCTTTTGGGGAGCTGCTTCACACGTGTCTTCTGTGCACTTCCCAGACTGCACCAACAGACAGGAACCTTACAGTCCAGGCCCACATCTGGGTCAAACTGCAAACTGATAATGAAAACAAGGCCAGACCCCTTTCTCTGAAATCCTGCTGGCTGATTGAAAGAGGAAAAGAAGAGTAAATTAAATTGCAGACTTTTTTTTTTTTTCTGAGAAGACTAAGTGGACTGCTGGGAGCTGAACATGCTCTCCTTAAAAAACTACTAGCTGCTGTAAAACAGAAAGGGGCATAAGGCAAAAAACCAAATGAACTCCAAAGCTCTTTAAGGTATTTAGTGGAATGGAATCCATTTCAACTTCTCCAGATAGAAACAGCAATGCAAGTCTACTGGCCTTAAGCTGCTTTTCCTGGCAGGTAACACAACCCCAGGCTACCAGTCCTGCCTTCATATTGAACTTTTTGTGAACAGAAAAATGTATGAATTACTGTGGGCACTGTACACTCCCTACAGCCTGCAGACCTCCATCAACTCATATCAACAGCTGTTATGTTTAAAATAAATAAAGGAGTAAAGAGTAGAATTCAACTGGACAACTTCTTTTTACGGCTCTTAGTAACAGAATATTAGGAAAAAGAATAACTCTTTTTATAACGATTATATTTTTCCCCCTCTTCTTATCTCTCTGCCTAGAGATAAGACATTTCAACACTCAGGAAGTCAAGGATTGTTTAGTGCTGAACAGAAGATTAGTGCTTGGGGGAGAAAACCAATCTGAGGCACAAAAGCATAAATTCAAGTATTAACTGAAGAAAACTGACCCCCTGAGTTTTAAGTACTATTCACCCATGCATCATTTAAGAAAAACAGTCTTATACAAGTGTATACGACCCTCCCAACCAACAGATGCTCATGACAGCATGTTTTAGCACAGACCACAAAGTAATAAAATACCAAACTACATGTAAGAGATAGCAGCATTGATGTTCCAGTATCAAAATGCTGCCAAATTCACATATAATTTCAAGTTTACTATGGGTACGTTTGTCGTACTCTCTGTCCTAAAGAAAAAAAGAGTCACGTAGTCCTGTACCTCCAGCTACAGGAGGAACTCTGAGGGATAGACTGGGGTTGGGAATATGGTGCAGTAACTTGGTTCTTGCAGAAATCAAGTCTTTAATAAACATCTTAAAAGTGCACACACCAGAACCTGCAACGGGTCTCGCACCATCCTCCTCCCTGATGTCTTTTCAGAAGAAAGAAGCAAATGTAGAATGATCCTTCAGAACTCCCTAAACACACACAAATTTTTTAAGAGGCCATTTTTATCTCTCTCCAAACAACACTTTGGTACCAACAATCATTCTCCAGTGACCACAGGACCTAACACGCAGGAAACCATCCTCAAAACAATTTTGGTTGATGGCAACATCGCAAGCACATCCAAGTTCCACCCCTGGAAAAAAACTGAAAAGAAATGCAAGATCAAGAACCCAGGAAGCATTAATCCTTGTAAGAATACAGGGCATCAAAAGAGAATAAATGTATGTGCTGTGATGGCACTGCTGATGCCTGAAATCTGACTCCTTCAAAGCAAACTTAACAGAAGTTAAGTTTGCTTAACTTAAGAGAAGTCTGCAGCAAGAAAGGAACTTTGTGAGCAGGAGAGGTGCAGGATCAACGAGAGGCAGAAGCAGTCCATAAGTAATCCACTCATCACACTTCTTGTATGAGCAAAACTCCTGTTCAAACACATACCAACCTCCTGAAAGCATGACCACCCGCTATTTACATACTGATTCGAAGCAGTGTTTGTTTTTGCTGCCTCTCCAGCTTGCTCCCTGCAAAGGTATCATTCCTCCTTCTTGGATTGCTCACACAGCTTGCATATCAGTCGAGTGCTGTTGCCATAGCTACCAGAGCATGTTAAGCCCCAATTCACAGCTGACCAAACTACACTAATTACTTGCTTGATTTCATCACTTTTAATCAACTGGCAGAAATCTTCTCCTGAATTGTGCTGTTGGGCAAGTTAATGAAGTTTGAGATACATGAGTTGATTCTTTAACCCCAGGACTTGCAAGGCAAGATTTTTGTGCAATGGGCTTCAATTTTTCCTCCACTGGCAATCCACTCCAGGCCTCAATCATACAAGTTTTTTAATTTAGTACTTTAATCTCATTTTAGCTGTAATGAGAGAATACAGCACCTCCAAGCTTCACGGAGGCCACACCTTTAACACTGACACTTAAACAGGGAAAAAGATCACCTTTTGGAACCAAGTAACTTTCTGATGTTTCCCACAATTGCCTTCAGTGTATGAAAACTCGATGCAGATCCCTCAGGCTACACTCAAGCATCACTCTGCAAAAGGAAGGCTGCAAAACATGTAAACAGGCATGGAGCTTGGGATAAAGCCATGTCCTTAGTTAAGCTCTTTAGTACTTCAGAGAATTCACCCATTGCACATTGCAAAGGGATGAACAAACTGACAGCACATTTTTCTCTGGGAATTTCCCAGCCATAAATGGAAGCAGCTGCTTCTTTTAGTACAGGCAAGCAGCTACTCAATCCCTTAAATAAGCAGCCTGACAGAGCAGGAGGGACAACATACACAGGATGGAAGAAAGTTCACCCAGTTGTATACGTCCTTGCTGAGCATTATTTTAGTAGCTATTATCCTGTTAATGCCTATATGTAACATGAGCGAGAGCAAGACAAATGTTACTTGGGAAAAGACTGTTCCATAAGCCATTACCTTCTTCACTTGAACTTGCATTTACAAGATGTCTTGGGAGAAACTGGGCTCCGCCTTTTGGCATAATTCTGTAATCCAGTTTGCTTTCCAAGACGAAATACATTCTTTATTTCATAAACACATAAATCTCTGGCCAGTTAATGTCAGTTAAATTCCTCACCCTGCCAGCCATTGCCCAATTTATGGCCTTGAAACACTGGAATTCAAGCCTCTAAATCTTCCTTTTCTCTGATCAAAGTGTCTGCCCGAGTATCCTGGCTTTTATTTACTAGCAGCCTCTTCAGCTTGTGACAACGGTTTGATGTGTGAGCAGACCCACCTGGAGGCCAGGGCTCCAGGTGCTAAAAAGGGTCATATCTGCTCTTCCTGCAAGCATCCCCCATCGCAAAGGAGGGACACAAGGTTAGAGACTTTAATAAGATAATTTTACATCTACCCCTGGAACACAAGCAGGACACTGCAGTTCTGGTTTTTAAAGACAAACATGAAAATGACATCCATATCCCTTGCCTTTTATTGCCAGGATCTGTTAAACATCATCACAACATAACTTATTTCATATGGTGTCCATACAGCTCCCTATGGAATACTATTCTGGAAAACCTTCTGGCATGCTGATGGGGACTTGAGGATTGAAGGGTGATTGGAACTTTTCTCGTGTGAAGAGAAGCTGATAATTATAATTCACAGAAATTACTTCTGGAGAGCTTTCTTGAAAAGCACAAAGGTATCTGCAAAATATCATATTTAACTGAACTCTGCATTTTCAGTGAGGTCAAACATGACCAGAGCCTCATCCATCTGATCAGAATTCCAACAAAACCACAGTGGATGGGAGCTTGAGAAGCATGGAGTGCCTGTGAGGGGAATCCACACCACACATGCCTTCCATCAGGCTACCTCTGCAGCAACACAAGAGTAGCTCTCTGCATAAAACCGTGGAAGATTAAGCTGTTCTAAGACTGAAACTCCAGCCGCTAGAATTTATGAGCTGCTGAGGAAAGCTCCAATAGGGAATTGCATTGACTTGGTGGGCAGAGAACTGGCTGCTGAGGGCATACCCTGCCTTAACTGACAAGGCAGGGCCCTTTGTAGGATTCTCTACAGGTCAGAGCAGAATTCCTGCTCCTGAGAGTTACACGTATTTCACAACCAGTTGTTGCTACACTGACAAAAAAAAAAAAAAAAGCAGGGCAGCACTTGGAAAGATTACTTGCGCTGTTTATTTTTAATTAGGCTAAGGCCCTCAAAAGCAACACTGGTTACTAAATCATGGTCCACGTGAACCACAACCTGAGGGACTTTGGAACACGAACACGCTGCTCAGCACTGTCCTTATTCAGATAAATCATGCTGCCCACCTTAAATTGAATCTTTCTGTTGTTTTTTTTTAAATTATATTTCATACCCTATCTGAGCAACTCTGCAAATCTCCCTATGCAGGCACAATACTCACAGATATTGAGGATATAAATTGAACCCTTTCAAGACCACTGAGGAATTCTAACAGTTCCTTTGACACAAAAATGAGCCCTGTTACCTTACCAGCCTTCCTCTGAACAAAACCCTCCACAGCAGCTGCTTTTGAATGTGTGAGGATTCTAACATTTTGCCTGACTGAAAAATTGGTGTGAATGTTTGTGCAGGGATTCAAACTGCTTCAATTGAATCCCCCATAAGAGGGTTGTTTCCAGCTGATGTCCATAGGCCTTTTTCTTTCCCC